GTGTCCCTTGTGTTCACAGAGAGTCTGGCCAGTGCCAAAGAGGAGAATGTGGGCATCCACCAGGTCCTGGACCAGACCTTGTTAGAGCTGAACAACCTCTGAGCTGCCCTGGGGAGCCCCCGTCCCTCTTCCCTACCCCACATGTGCACCCAACTGGCACACTCAGGACGTCATCAACTGAACTGCATCTTGGCCAAATCCACACACCCATTGAGAAGAGATGCTCTGCAACCTTACACTGTGGCTCAGGGGTGTCTTGTCTGTGCACAGCTTGACTGGCTCTGTCCCATCTTCATGTCCAGATATTAAAGCAGTTTGACAAGATGGATGAGTGTGCTTGGTCCTTGCAGGCAGGCACAGGCACTGGGAGATGTGGTAGGGGTCTCCCTGCCCAGTTCACACAAGGAGGCTCTGCAGGGTCTTGGGTCCGGGGCGGGTATGGACAGCATAAGGATGTCCTCCATGGCTGTGGGGGGCTGGGAACGATAACGGGTATGATTTGGGCTGCGTTCCCACATCTCCATCACCTCCTTGGGATGCACAGAAAACCTCCAAGTCTCAAGCTCAGTCCAAACTGACCATCCTCTTCAAATACACAGTGGTAGAGATATGTCACTGGTGTGTCCCCTTCCATAGCCGGTATGTTACCTGTCTGGCACCTGGGGAAGCCACAAGATCTTTGATCTCTTCATGGAGTCTGCTACATGGTTCATGTTCATGATGCCATATGAGCACACATACAAGTGTGTGACCATGCACACACTATTACTTACCAGGTTCTTCTCCGGGTCTGTGGTTAGCTGCTTACCCCATGTACTAGTTGTATTTTCTATTACCATTCACTGAATGCCTGCCTGAGGGACAGCTATATAAATGAGCAAATATTAATGCAGTAGGGAACCAATTTCCAAAGCATTCAGGAAGTTTCCTCCTGGCTTGCTGTGTTTTCTCCAACACAAAGAGAAGAGTGGCAGGATGTGTTTCATTTCTGTCACCAAAAAAGGCTGGATTTCCTGGAGATGCCCAAAGTCATGATCTAGTCCTGCCCTCCGCTTTGGGCTCCTCCATGATGTGCGCCAAGCCCTGTTGTCCCATGCTACCTGGTGAATAGCTGCCTAAAAGCACGGCCTCATGCTGCCAGGAAACATAATTCATGCTGACCCCTTGCTGAGCCAGGCCCTTGCCCCAATGAGTGGCCAGCAGGGATAGCTTTTGTTATCTGCTTTCTTTTATTTGCTGCACCTTTCAGCTCAGAAAAGGAGGGTGGTGAGTTTGCATTTCTTTCCTGCCCAGGTGCTGCTGGCCTGCCCTCCCCCTGGCCCAGCACCTCTGTTTTGTGGCTCCAAGACCTCCTATGGGGAAAAGGGTTCCCCTCGCATGGGGTACTCATTTTCTGGTTGTCCTCCTGGGCTGCAGGACCTACTGGGAGCTGCAGCCTCCCTCCCTGGGACATGCTGGAGGGGAAGGATGGTGCACAGCTGTTCTGGCCAGCAGAGCTGGCCCTGCACAAGGGCTGGGGCTCCTTGGGTCCTCTTTGCTTTTCCACAGCACATCAGCTGAGCCGTTCTGTTGTTTGGTCAAAGCACCTTCCAGGTAGGGGTTTGTCTGGCTGCAAAAGGCACAAGAGTGCAAAACCACATCTTCTGCGGGAGCTTGTCCCAGCAAGCAGTGGCCCCGTACTGCAAACAAACCTGCCCTGCACGCCTAACAGAATGGGGTCCCCTGCGTCCAGCCTCTGTGCACCCTTGCCTTCCTGCTAGGACAAAGAGCCTTTTCACATCCAGTGTTTTCCCATTAGCTGCCCAGCCTCCTGGTTTGGACCAGTCCATTTAACTTAACCATTTCCACCCTGCTGCAAGAGCCTTCTTTTCCCTCTGAACTTTCTGTAGTTTGGCAGGGAGATCCTGGCTGCTGTTCCCAGGTGATGCTCTTCCCCAAAGATGTGAGGCTATCTTCCACGGTTGAGCAAAGCTTTGCATTTTCTCCATCCTCCCACCCATCTGCTTTCCCCTGTGGTCCTGCAGAAAGATGCAGGCTGGGGGAAGCTCTGGGAGGCCATGCAGCAGGGGGGCTCGACCTGGAGGCATGTCTCCCCACTCAGACCCACATTGAGGACCACAGGGCCCATCCCCTCCTCCCTCCCTCCCCTTGCACCTCTTGCTTTGAGTTTTAACCTTTGGATTTGTTTATCTTGGCCTGACAGACTGAAAATCTCCCTGAAGTGCTTTCAGCCCTGGTATGCGCTGCCACCCTGTTGCATTAAAGGGAAAAGTAATTTGGCAGAAAATAAATCCCCCTTTGCATTCCAGCCTGTCCTCAGATATCAGAGGGGCTGGGGGCAGCTAGGCTTAGATTCTGAGTGATGCCCAATGCGGCGTTAGAAGTCTGGTTGCGATCAATATGTATATTGAACTATCACGAATACAGATGCTCTAACAACACCATACACCTTCAATCTAGCGGCGTTCCATGAATTAGCACGGCCACACTTAAGGAGTTTGGTCGCATTCACTAAAAACTTTCACGGCTAGATTAATGAAAAGCATAGTTTATTGAAACAACAGATGCACAAGTTCTTTTGGATTGCCAGTGATAAAGTTACTGTCTGCAAAGCACGTGCAAATACTAAGGATGTTAGTAATACAGCCTGGCTACAAACGCGTTAAGTTATAAAGCAACTCTGTAGAGATTTCTAAGTTTCCCAGGGAAGCACTTGGTATAGCCAAGTATTCAAATCTTACCCACAAGCATCCTTATGGGAGGGAAGAGAGGCTCAGCCTGTTGACTAATCCCAGAAGTCAGGGGTGGTCAGCGATGGTCTTTCCCTGACTGCGATGGTATCTTCCCTGACATCCCTCTTCTCTTAAGCTATTTTTATACTATTTTGTACCTTTAGGTGGAGCTTGAGGGACTCTAGTCATACATACCTTTGCTATGATTGGTGTAAAATTTTCTCGCTTTGCTTTTAAAGGTATAGACTACGAAAAATTCAGAGTGCAGGCTCCGTGGGGAGTGGTTGCACCTTGGAGGCGGGTGGCTTTTGGGATGGAGGTGTGTTTTGGTATTATAATGACATTATAATGAGCAAAGTTCATCCAAAGGATAGCATTTTGTCAAAAAATGACAGATTTTTGGCTAAGGGTAACACTTAGGCAGGTTATCAGTTCTGTGAAATGTGTTCACCTGATTCGTGTCAATATGGACTAATGCTAGGGCCACGTGGTGAAATGTGACTTTCTGTCTTATATACCCTTGTATAACCGCAGGCCTAAGAGAAATGGAGTGGTTAATGTATATAGTTTTAGCTTTTTTTAAAAGACATACTTGTGTGTTAGTTTGGACCGGTTTTGCTGTTAACCGTATGGTGTCAAGCCATAAAAATCTGGAGTCATCCTAAGGGTGAGCCAAGGAAGGCCATGTGCATACGTGGAATCTGGGGTAATCCTGAAGGCGACAAGGAAGACCACCAGATGAGAGCCAAGAAGACCCTGAGGGCATGTGCAGAAAGACATAAGCCTACTCCTGGAATTTATTTGCATAGACCCACCTTTTAAAGAATGTGTATTAGCTGAAAGGATATAAACCAGAAACAGGAACTGTACTGTGTGCATCTTGGTAGAGCAGAGGCTCCCGGCGCACCCAGCGCTGTTTGCTTGCATTTATTCATTTAATAAATTGTAAACTTAAATTGCAACCCGATTGGGGACTAAGTCATTTATCACAGATTGGATTGGTCATGGCTAACAGATTGGTTACCAAATTTAACCTGGGTTAAACAAATCTTTATAGCAGTGGTCCTTCTTATTATTATCCTTCTGGTAACTTGTATATCAATATGCTTGTTAACTTAATGTGCCTCTTGGTGTTATAGAAAGACCATAGATGACTATGCAAATTGGAAAAGAAATAAAATTAAACATGCAGAAGTGACAGGAAAATATTTTAGACGAAGTTTAGGTGCAGAAAGTATATTATAGATTGCAAAAGAATTTGCAATAACAAAGAAAAGGGGGGGATTGAAGAGAGGAACTTATTAACTAACCTGATCTTTGAGGAACAGGGCTAGCTTTATCTTTAAAGACCAGGGTGTGAAACTATTACAACTATCACCCAACAAAGAGAAAAAGAGATCTTGAGACCATTGAGACACGATGGCCAAAACCAGCTCAGTGGCTTTAGCAATCAGATAAGGAACAAAGAACTACAGTTCACCAAAAGAATACTGTGATAAAGAGGAGTAAATGAAGTAAACGACTACCAGAGGATTCTGAAGGACCACCGAGAGACTATAATGGGCATACGGGAGTGGGTAGTAACCTATGGTAATGGATTCCCGGAAAAGTAATGAACATGTTAATAATTTCTTGGAAACCTTGTGAATATGTATATATGGCATGTATATAAGCTGTATAACTAACCCTTTACGGCATGCACATTAGGAGGAGCGATCCCCTGTGCGCCTAGCGCTACATAAAGAATACCTGCTTAATAATCACCAAGACTATTGAGTCCTGATTTCAGCTTTTCACGGCATCAAAAGAAAAGCAGTATTATTAGAAAAGTCATGCCACCATGGCACAGTGTTTTCAGTCTTTAGTAGAGAAATTGCACCAGAGAATAAATGGTTAACATAAATTTGCATAAATGGGAAAATTCCATGGCACAATGAAGAAATTAACAAAGATGTAATAAAACCCTAAAACAAATGACTCCTGAATAATAAATAATGAGAAAGAATCAAATTCAGTTCACAGATTGTTAATGATTTCATTAGTAACTGTTCTAGTGTAATGTTATTCCTGTAATAGCTGTTCTTTTTTCATTTAAAATTCAATAACCTTTCAGATCTTAACCTGCAAGCTGACCCTAAGTATTGTTATGTGGCTTGCGGCAAAACTGTATTATAATTAAACAGAATCGTTTACTATCCTGCCTGTTGTTTCCATAAATTTCCCAGATGCATAGATGTAGAAGGCCTCTATTTATGCCAAAAGTTTAACAGAATGGCACCTCTGTTACTGAATATTTCCATGTCTGTTTTATGGTCTGCTTAAAAGGTCCATTAGCTAAGACCAAAAAGCCCAAACAAACAAACAAAAAACCCAATAGAAACAAAACTAACCACACCTCCGTTTCCTTGTTCTCTGAGAATGCGACAAATTCCCTTTTGTACATAAGGAGACACTCTGTCATCATCTTGCTTTCCTCCGTTTCTGAAGTTGAAATCCAGGCATGTTTGTAAAAGGTAATGAAATAGATTAGTGAGTTTCCTCTAGTATATGACCTCTTTATACAACATCCTAGCTCTTTATGGATTTACAAC